TCACTGGTCACTATATGTATGTACGTCCGTCACACTCACTGGTCACTATATGTATGTACGTCCGTCACATGCGGACGCCGACGCCGACATTTATTTCATATGACCCTAGACTTTCAGTCAAGGGAATATGATCTCTCCAATAGTGAGGTTTTCGATATGTAAAAATATTTTTTACGGGTTTTCCAGAGATCCGGCCTCCAGAAAACCCACACGGAATTACTTTTGGGTTCTGAAAATCTCATCATTAGAAAGAGCATATTCGAAAACCTATAGAAAAACGTGTTTATAGGCTTTCATATCACTTCTGCAGCATATGTCCGCCTGCTCTATAGAAAAATGTCCACTGTGGGTGCCTAGAAAGTCAAAGAATGGAAAATACTACCATTCCTTACTTCTTCATAAATCACAAGGCTTCAACTGCATCAATCGATCAATTTCAGAAAATGTAATCCAGACGAATTTAACAATTGATACAATGTTTTTTCTAATTAATTCTAATTAATTAAGAGAGGTTAACACGCGCATTAATTTTACGCATACGGATAAACTAGCGCCACTCCGGATCTGGCGATCCTTTGATATATATACACGCGTATTCTATATAACAATACTTTTAAAAGAGAAAGAATGACAGTTGTATCTATGGAATATTATTGTATATTTCTCATTGTGCGAAACTATTTCTTATCGGCTTTTTTTGTAAAGGCATGTATACGTTCCCGAGAAATGGAAGTTAGCAACCTTTTTGCTCATTAAGTTTTCCTTGCACCAAATTCACCAATTTTGTGCTGCTTTTAGGAGTTGTCGCTAACCGGGACCCGATATTTTTTTGGAAATCGAGTAAAACGACTCCAAAGAAAGTGGTTCTTTTGGAAGCGGAGATAAATTCTGATGAGAAATTCAAAAGCATTTACTTCCTGAGTTTGCTTCCTCACTAGCGAAGCATAAATAAAAAAAATGGAGTAAGTAGTCAAGCAATAACATTCTTACTATTAAAGGGCAACAATATAAATAAGAACATTAGTATACTGAAGGAGATATCTTAGATTTTATACATTATTTAAATTACGATAACCCGAAAAGATAAAGAGGTCCCGTCATATGACCCGCGAAAGATATAGTTCAACTCTGTGACTAAGGGAAAGTTGGAAGGATTTATTTCTCTTAATTCAGCCTCTCCCTCCCTCGGAAGCCGATAGGAAATAGTTTCGCACAATGAGAAAATACGGAGTCGTGTGTTTATAAAGACGAGGGTTCTAGTCAGTATAGACAAATGTCATTATAGCACCGTTGCTACGCAAAAATCCGTATATTACAACAGAAATGCATTGTGCATCAGTGTTGCCAGATTAGAAAACGCGAAAGACTTGATTTTAAGCTAAAAGGATATTTAAAAAAAAGTCTTATCATGTTTCAAGATAATTAACGAGTGATAAGTCTCTATATGTTCACTTTCTGAAAACTCCCGTGCATGCGGATCAGAGGTGCAGAATCTTCATCATGCACCCCGCGCAGGAGGAGGAGTAAAATTTTTTAAAAAATTGCATTATCTGCTGAAATTTTTGAAATTTTCTAACAAAGAATTTTTGTTAGAAGGGGAAACCTTGTTCTCTTCATAATTAACTGTTACAATGATGTTAAAAAATGAATGATGTTTGAGAAATTGAATCACAAAGGAAATTGGAATGTTTGGACAAAAGATGATAAAACTGTAACGAGAAAAGTGATGAAAACTTTCTTCACGAACAAATTCAACATGGCATTCTTCGTAATGTAATAAAAAAAAAAAGTAAAGTTGTAAGGAATAAATAAATAGTAAGGAAGGATGTGCTTCAGCATGGACAGTCATCGCCTCAAACTCTACTTGTTTTTACGAAGAACAGCTCAAAACATATCAAGATCGACAATATTTTACTCAATGATCAATAGCTGAAGTGGAAGGAATGATGTTTGAGAGAACTGTAACGATAAAACTGATGAAAACTTTCTTCACGAACAAATTCAACATGGTATTGTTCGTAATGTAATAAAAAAGAAAAGTAAAATTGTAAGCAATGTGTGTGTTCTTGGTGAGATTAAGAACAGATTATACAAGTAAAGCAACAAACGCAAAAGAATGAATTATATCCTGTAACAGTTAATTATGAAGAGAACAAGGTTTCCCCTTCTAACAGTTTTGTTCAAAAATTTCTCCAGATAATGCAATTTTTCAAAAAATTTTACTCCCCCTCCTGCGCGGGGTGCATGATGAAGATTCTGCACCTCTGATCGGCATGTACGGGAGTTTTCAGAAAGTGAACATATAGAGACTTATCACTCGTTAATTATCTTGAAACACGATAAGATTCTTTTTAAATATCCTTTTAGCTTAAAATCAAGTCTTTCGCGTTTTCTAATCTGGCAACACTGATGCACAATGCATTTCTTTTGTAATATACGGATTTTTGCGTAGCAACGGTGAATAGAAAGTCAAAGAATGGAAAATACTACCATTCCTTACTTCTTCATAAATCACAAGGCCTCAACTGCATCAATCGATCAATTTCAGAAAATGTAATCCAGACGAATTTAACAATTGATACAATGTTTTTTCTAATTAATTCTAATTAATTAAGAGAGGTTAACACGCACATTAATTTTACGCATACGGATAAACTAGCCCCACTTCGGAAGGTATGCATCGGGTCGAGCTGCTCGAAATTAAAGTGTTTTTTTCCTGATGGTTGTTATTCTCAGGCCTCTACATTAAGGATGATCCCGCACTTTTTAGCAAACAAACGGCATTTATGTTGTGTGTCCGCATCCCATGTCACTATATGAGTTTCCTCTCAAAATTAAACTGACTTTTTCGGTTTATGTCCGAAGCAGCTTTTTGAGTTCTTGAACGTCAATAGCTTTGTCCTTACTCTTCTTCCGCTAAATTTTCGAGTAGCTCAAATTTCGTGTAGCTCGATTCGAGTTTTCGGGTAACTCGAAGCTCGGTGCATACCTAGAAGTGATTAATAAAACGTTGCAGAAAAAATGTTGCTTGAAGTTTACATTATTGGTACCTTATAAAAAACCATCGACAAAATTTGCATAGGTCTTTCGGGAGAATTTTTGTATCTCGTTCATTTTGAGCTTCCAAAGTGATACATTGACGTTTCCCTAGACCGACACGTTCACAAACTTTCGCGAATGCAAATTTCATATGAAATTTTAACGTCTGAGACTAATTATCGCATTCATCCTCATTCCCTCATCGCACGTTTTTGAGACTCTTTCTATGAGAAGAATAATTAACTTCCCAGTCAGTTCTGATATAAAAACCTAAAGTATTAATGAAAGTCTATTTTTTGCATTCATTTAGTGTTTGAACATGTTAAATGAACTACTATTTGTACTTATTTTCAAAATAAAATGATCAATTGTACATTACTAAGTGTATTTTTATTGTTTATGGGAACATGTGGTAACACTTTATGTATTCTCGTATTTTTGCGTGGAAAATTTCGTCATAGTATTGTTACACCCTATTTTATTACTCTTTTAATTGCCGATTGTTTTTACTTATGCTTTCGTGTTATTAAATTATTCTATTATCAACAAACATTATTTAAACAAATTCTTCATAGTTCATGCAAAGATAATATTGTTACCAAGCTTTATGGGATATTTACACAAAAGTTTTCAGAAATTTTCATACCATTTGTACATTTTGAATTTTACATACGATTTTCTCTCATTTTAATGGCATTTGTATCGATTCAACGTGCATTTTACATATCGAAATCAATTACTCGATTAATTGTACCAGTTCGTGATAAACGACATTCTCCATTAATATTAATTTTGATTTCATTTATTTTAGCTTATTTTTTTGAATTTTTTGGTTTAACCCTATTTTGTTCGAAATCTGCTAATCGTAAAATAGCGTATGAATGGTTTTTGTATACAATTCATCAACTACCACAAAATTCAACACAATTGTTATTGAATAGTATCAATAATAAGAAAGATTTAATGTGTGTAGAACAATATATCCAGTCGAATGAGACAACTTCAGTGTGTACAAAACAACAACTCATGGAAATATTAAGTAAGTTGTTACAATTGACTCATAATGTAGTTATATAATTTAAGATAAGAGAAAATGAAATGTAGAACTGCAGTGAACGATTTGATTCAAATCAGCACTTAATTAATGCATGGAACCGCCTGTTTTGTGTTATTCCTGTGAATTGTAGATTAAATAAACTGTTTTTTGTTCTGAAAATTAGTACTTTTATCTTCATTTATGTAGAATTTTTTTGAAGGTCGTTATTTCGATTTACATGAACGTTTTATTGTTCGTTTAATTCAACAAATTGAACATCATTTAACTGGTTTCAACTTGAGTCGAAATGAAATACGAGTTAAATATCATTATCATTCATGTTTAATCAAACAAAATCCAGAAACATTTTTAACATTGTATGATTTCTTCTATAGACGAATGAT